TCACTCCCAAACGATTCATTACTACTTGTGGAAAAACACCAGGATCGTAACTGGTGAGACCCTCACCACTGCGTCTGGTCTTGAGTTCTTCCCGGCTCAATGTCCCTCAAGAGCCAACAAAGCTGCTAAGAAATGCATAGTGGATCGTACTGGGGAAAAATGAAGATAAACAATGGCGAAGAGTTTGTCTTTGGAGAAACAGGTGAACACTGAAGAGAAGATATGCAAAGGTCTTAAGGCGCGCGCGCACACACACACACACACACACACACCCCTTTTCACTGTCTCTATATTGAAGAAGGTATCATAAAAATTCTGTGAAAAAATTTTAAAAAGTGTTTCTTTTTTCTGAATTTATATATTTCATCTGACATGTCTTTTTCCAACTAAAAGATCCCGCAGTAAATGCCCAAAATGTACCCAAAAAACCCACGTAAACTGTATTTCAACAGACACAGCACCAGTAACACTTCATTCAGTCAACAGCTACAATGTCATTACAAATACCAGGAACTGAGCCATGTGCCCGTAACAGCAAAAATTTCTGCCTGGATCTGAGTCCTTAGAAAGCTCGGTCTGGCAGACGAAATACACACTTAAATGACAGCTAGCGAGTATCCAAGGGCCTTCACTTCAATCAAGATTTAAAACCCCTCGAAGTGGCAGATTTCTCATGATGAAAATAATATATTTTCCTTCCAGACAGAACACTAGAAGAACGAAGGGATAAAAGGGATTCCCCTGGAACAGCTCCTTCTTCAGTGCCTGATTCCAGATTATCACATCAGTCCATGAAGGAAAAATCCCAAATTAAAAAGGAAATAGAGGGCTGGGGATACAGCTCAGTGGCACAAGCACCTGCCCTGCAAGCACAAGGTTCTGAGTTCAATCCCTGCTACGACCAAAAAAAAAAAGGACATCGAGCCTCATTCCTTCCCACTTAGTGGCAATGTAGCTGCAAGAAGACCCATTTCACAGCACATCAAATTAAATTTTTATTAATAGAGTCTACTATGGGGGCTGGGGATTTAGCTCAGCGGCAAAGTGCCTGCCTGGCAAGCACAAGGTCGTGAGTTCGGTTCCCGGTACCGGAGAAAAACCAAAAAA